TCTATGAGTCGTTAAAAGAGCCCCTGTGTGTGTGTGTGTGTGTGTGTGTGTGTGTGTGTGTGTGTGTGTGTGTGTGTGGTCATATTCACTATACACTCAGAATAGCACGACTGTGCCAGACTGTTTCGTCGGACATTTGCTGACTCGTCAGAAGGTTGAACCCCGACAGTCTGCCCAGGATGCATTTGACTGATGGATGTGTGTCTCTCTCTCTCTCTCTCTCTCTCTCTCTCTCTCTCTCTCTCTCTCTCTCTCTCTCTCTCTCTCTCTCTCTCTATTTTTCTTTTTCTCTACTCCCTCTCCTTGTGTACTACTAGCAAACACATATGAATGACCGTCGTTGAGAGAACAGACAAATATAATTACCCTTTTGCTCTGCCTCCTTTTATACGTGCAAGTGGGCCGTAAAGGCACACGGGAATGCGGGGAGCTGGCGCTCAATCATCATCCATGTGACCAGTCTTGTACGTGATAGGCACAGTAAGAAGGTAACTGCAAAAACAAAGAAAATGGGAGGGCTCCCAATGCTAGCTGATGAAAATATATTCAAGAAGACTATATAATAAGTTAATTGTGTCTCTTATTGTTTACCTTTGGATTGGCCTGTCTCAAGTGTGTTGCATTGCTTGTGTGAAGGTGAGATTCGTCGCTTGTTTAAACTTTAAAGGTAAGGTTCTGACTTCACAAGCAAAACTGTTTCATTGGTGGATTGGCTCATCTTTAGCATGCTTCATTGTCTGCAATACAGGTAAAGTTGCTATGACTTTGGATCTACTCATCTGCGTGGAATAGGGGAAGTTGTGGGGATATTTTGTAACACACGCACACACAACGAAAGCCCTCGAGTTCAGATAACCCAACCCAACAATGAAACAGTTTCGCAGAATGCGCAATGCACTGTCTGGTACACACACACACACACACACACACACACACACACACACACACACACACACACACACACGCGCGCACACACACACACAACACACAGGTGAACCCCGTTCGCAAGCCTCGAAAGTGCGTTCTTGCGAACACCCCGTTCGCAGGCCTCGAAAATGTGTTCTCGCGACCCGGTTGAACAAACGTGTTCTCACCCAAACGGGAAGGGGCGTGAACACGTTCGCCGTGCTACGCAGGTTGTAAGTTGTAACCAGCTCATTATTGACAAAAGAAAGCCACCGGACTCGATCACCCATTCCCCAGCTCCCCCCCTCCTCCCTTCTTGTTCTTAATCTGTCCAACTCGATATTGGCTCCCTCCTTTCTTTTGATTACTATTCTCCACTTAGTACTCCTATTCCCCTTATAATTCTCCACCTTTGTATTTCTGGCCCATCTTCGCCTCCCACTGCTTGCCACACATCGTGTGGCCCATTTTTCCATTTTCTCCCATAGTCCCTCCGCTTCTACTACTCGGAGGTACATGCAGATTCGACTTCCATAGATACTCGGTTATGGGGGCCGTCGAGACAAAATGGACATGGCCCGCTTCCCCCTGGATGCTGGACATGGCCCGCTTTCCCCTTGATGCTCCCAGTGCTGGCAGGAGGGGGGTGGCTCCCCTAAAAGCTTTTTCACCGTTGCCACTAACTGGCTCGTCAGATCACAAATGTACACGCACCCAATCCTGGAGACATGCAGAAAACCAAGGTCGAAGCAGAGTACGAGGGAGATATACCGCTGCTTCCGCCGCTCTCTGTTCGTTGGTTTCGGGCGTAAGCGGCAAGTCCTCGTCTGCCCCTGTCGAGAAGTTCCAGTCTGCTATAGTAATCGAAGTATCGCCGGTTCGCCTCGCCTGCCAGTTTGCTCAGATACAAGCAAGCGCACACACATGCATGCCAATCAAGTAGAAGAGTGGGTATATATCGGGAAGCTTATCAGGCCGGGTACCACTGTGATCAGGGGAGGGTCGATCGAAGGGCGGGGGTGGGAGTTTCATCTTTTCGAATTTCCGTGGTATTACCTTTGAACTAGGAATGCTCGTCACATCCGAGGAACTCTTTTTTGCAGGGTCTGATGGGTATCCTGCCATCGACTGGTCCTGATTCGTCTGCCTTAAACCAGGGGTGTTGGTCATGGACTTTTACCTGTGCCTCCTCTTGTGGTCTCATTGCCGGTGGTACTCCTCGTCCGGGAGGCGAGATTAGTGTCTATGGGATTTTCTCCCCCTGTTGGTCAGAACTGGTCCTTGCGGTACTTGTTTCCGCGTCCTTCTCCTTGGGCGCTATTCTTCGGGTCGAAGGGGGTGGGGTAGGGGACCCCTGACCCCAGATGTCGCGGTTGCTTTCCCCCTCCTTTTCTTCGGAACATACCTCCCTTACCTTGGGGTTGTGGATGTGTCCTTTGCGCCGCTTCCTAATGTCAGCTGCTGACCTGTTTTAT